AGCATCCGCCAGGATCAGCCAAGCTGATGGCCAGCCAGTTTCAGCTAGTATCAGCCAGTATCAGCCAGGATCAGCCAGTTTCAGCCCGTATCAGCTAGTTTCAGCCAATATCAGCCAGTCTCAGCCAGGATCAGCCAGTATCATCCCGCATAAGCAAGTATCAGCCAGTTTCAGCCAGCATCAGCCAGTTTCAGCCAGTATCAGCCAATATCATCCAGTATCAGCCAATACCAGCCAGGATCCGCCAGTTTCAGCCAGCATCAGCAAGTATCAGCGCTTCAGCAGTACCGGTCAGTATCAGCCAGTATCAGCCAGCATCAGCCAGGCTGTTGGCCAGTATAAGCTGGCATCAGTCAGTATCAGGATCAGCCAATATCATCCAGCATCAGCAAGTATCAGCCAGTTTCAGCCAGTCTTAGCCAGTATCGGCCAGTATCCCGGTATCAGCCAGTTTCAGCCAGTATCAGCCAGTTTCAGCCAGTATCAGCCAATATCATCCAGTATCAGCCAATACCAGCCAGGATCCGCCAGTTTCAGCCAGCATCAGCAAGTATCAGCGCTTCAGCCAGTCTCAGCCAGTACCGGTCAGTATCAGCCAGTATCAGCCAGCATCAGCCAGGCTGTTGGCCAGTATCAGCTGGCATCAGTCAGTATCAGGATCAGCCAGTATCATCCAGCATCAGCAAGTATCAGCCAGTTTCAGCCAGTATTAGCCAATATCAGCCAGGATCAGCCAATATCATCCAGCATCAGCAAGTATCAGCCAGTTTCAGCCAGTCTTAGCCAGTATCGGCCAGTATCCCGGTATCAGCCAGTTTCAGCCACTATCAGCCAATATCGCCAGGATCAGCCAGTACCATCCAGCATCAGCAAGTATCAGCCAATATCAGCGAGCATCGCCAGGATCAGCCAAGCTGTTGGCCGGTATCAGCTGGCATCAGCCAGTATCATCCAATATCATGCAGTTTCAGCACAGCCAATATCAGCCAGTTTCAGCCAGTCTCAGCGATCAGCCAGCTTCAGCCAGTATCAGCCAGGATCAGCCAGTTTCAGCCAGTATATCAGCCAATATCATCCAGTATCCGCCAATATCGGCCAATATCAGCCAGGATCAGCCAGTTTCAGCCAGCATCAAGCAAGCATCAGCCGGTTTCAGCCAGTATTAGACAGTATCAGCCAGTATCAGCCAAGACAAACCAGCATCACAAGCTGTTTGGCCAGTATCAGTTGGCATCAGTAATATCAGGATCAGCCAAGATGATCCAACATCAGCAAGTATCAGCCAGTTTCAGCAAGTATCAGCCGATATCAGCCAGGATCAGCCAGCTTCAACCCGAATCAGCCAATATCAGCCAGGATCAGCCAATATCATCCAGGATCAGCCAGTATCATCGTATCAGCCAGTTTCAGCCAGTTTCAGCCAGGATCAGCCAGTTTCAGCCAATATCATCCAGGCTCAGCCAAGCTGTTGGCCAGTATCAGCTGGCATCAGTCAGTATCAGGATCAGCCAGTTTCATCCAGCAATATCATCCAACATCAGCAAGTTTCGGCCAGTTTCAGGCAGTGTCAGCTGGCTTTGCACGGTTTTGGGTTTTGCTTGTGCTCTTGGCGGTTATTGGTCATTTCAAAATTTCGATTCCGGTTGGGAAAGAGCCCAAATGACACCGCCGGAGATTGAGCCCGCGACCCTGCCCAATACGCCCTCCTGAACGGCCGCCCCCAGTTTCGTCTAGTCGCCCATAGCTCAGCGGGTAAGCGGATGGCTTACAAGCCCTTCTGGAAAAAGGGCGCGGGCTCAAACCCCGGCGGTGTCATTTAGAATCTTTGACGTTAATAATGGCTTAATAAGGCTTTAATAAGGGCGTAATAAAGCCTTAATAAGCCTCTTATAAGCCTTAAATAAAGCTCTAATAAAGCTTTAATATGGCTTTAATAAGGGCTTAATAAGGCCATAATAAGGGCTTAATAAAGCCTTAATAAGCCTCTTATAAGCCTTAAATAAGGCTTTAACATGGCTTTCATAAGGGCTTAATAAGGTTTAATAAAGGCTTAACAGCCTTGTTTAAAGCTTTTAAGAGGCTGATTAAGGACTTATTAAGCCGTTATTAAGGCTGATTAAGCCCTTATTAAAGCTTTTCACAGCCTTATTCAAGCCTTATTAAGGCCATATTGAAGAAGCCGTATTACAGCCTTATTGAAGCCTTATTCATCCCTTATTACGGCCTTATCAAGCCCTTATCAAGGCCTTATGAAAGCTTCATTATAGCCTTATCAATACTATTGTAATACGACTGTACCATTACCTTTCTGCAACTGTATTATTGTACTACTATTATGCTACTAGTGTACTACTGTACCACTACTGTGCTACCCTACTACACTACCACTACCACTACCACTACCACTACTACTACTACTACTACTGCTACTACTACTACTACGACAACTACTACTGTACTACTACTGTACTACTGCACTACTACTGTACTACTACTGTACTACCACTGTACTACTACTGTACTACTACTGTACTACAACTGTACAACTACTGTACTACTACTGTACTACTACTGTACTGCTACTGTACTACTACTGTACTACTACTGTACTACTACTCTACTACTACTGTACTACTACTGTACTACTACTGTACTGCTACTGTACTACTACTGTACTACTACTGTGCTACTACTGTACTGCTACTGTACTACTACTGTACTACAACTGTATTACAACTGTACTACTACTGTACTACTACTGTACTACTACTGTACTAATACTGTACTACTACTGTACTAACTACTGTACTGATGACGGTACTAACTACTGTACTAGTACACTACTAAGTCTACTAAAATTAATAAAATCGAATCTTTAAAAATTAGCTTTTTCGCCTCGTACAATGTGTTCCTCCCGAATTCCTGTTCCCCGAACAAGGTCTTGTATTGCTTTAAACGTTCAACCCCCCAATAGCGCGGAGTTTGGCTACACCCCCAATTAAACAGGCTCACCCGATCTCGCCCGGAAGAACCTGACCTTGAATAAACCCCCATGCTCACCCCCCCATTAGAAGGGTCTACTGGTACTGTACTACTACTGCTGCACTACTACTGCACTACTACTGTACTACTACTGTACTACTACTGTACTACTACTGTACTACTACTGTACTACTGCTGTACTACTACTGTACTACTACTGTACTACTACTGTACTACTGCTGCACTACTACTGCACTACTACTGTACTACTACTGTACTACTACTGTACTACTACTGTACTACTACTGTACTACTACTGTACTACTACTGTACTACTACTGTACTACTACTGTACTACTACTGTACTACTACTGTACTACTACTGTACTACTACTACTGTACTACTACTGTACTACTACTGTACTACTACTGTACTACAACTGTACTACTACTGTACTAGTAACTAGTAGTATACTAATTAATAAATCAATATGGATTAGCTTTCCCTCGAACAGGTTTCCCCCAATTCCCCAAACAAGGTCTTGTATTGCTTTAAACGTTCAACCCCCCAATAGCGCGGAGTTTGGCTACACACCCCCAATTAGACAGGCTCACCCGATCTCGCCCGGAAAAACCTGCCCACCCCCCCAATTAGACAGGCTCACCCGATCTCGCCCGGAAAAACCTGACCTTGAATAAACCCCCATGCCCACCCCCCCCATTAGAAGGGTCCACTGGTACTGTACTACTACTGCTGCACTACTACTGTACTACTACTGTACTACTACTGTACTACTACTGTACTACTACTGTACTACTACTGTACTACTACTGTACTACTACTGTACTACTACTGTACTACTACTGTACTACTACTGTACTACTACACTATTATACTGGTCCCCAAACAAGGTTCTCCGGGACCTTGAACAAGGTTTCCCCCAAACCCCCCCAACAAGGTTCTTCCACTTAATCGTTTCGGGGGTTTTGGGGGCGAGGTGTCCGACCTTGTGACCTTGATAGCGGGGGGGGGGGGGCTCCCCCCCTTTCTTAATCAGGTTCCCACATTAAACCCTATAGATCCCTTTAAAGGAACCCTCATAGTCCCCTCTGAAAGAGCCCTCTAAAAGGACCCCAAAGCTGCGCCGCCTCGGCTAAGCCACGCCATCGCCTCTGCTGCATCGCCCTGGGCAGCTGCGCTCCGAGCCGCGGCGCCGAAAGCACCTGTCTAGGATTGACGATTTAAAGGGTTTAGGGATCCTTAAAAAGGACCCAATACCTAGGATCTATAGGGTTCCTTAAAGGGATCTATGGGGTTTCGGGTTTATAGGCGCTGCGTGGAGGGGCAGGGGACTTAGTAAGTCGTTTAATTGGGGTAACTCCAATTAGGGTACTCAAAAATCTACTTATATCCTACTTACTAAGTCCCCTGCCCCTCCAAGTACTTAACGGATCACGGGGCTTAGCGGCTTAGCACCTAGGGCTATTACTAAGTCCCATGATCCACCAAGTAGGAATGAAGATTTTAGGGGTTTAGGGGGTTTAGGGATCCTCAAAAAGTGGTCCTTAAAGGGTTCCTTAAAGGGATCTATAGGGTTTAGGATTTAGGGTTTACAGGGTTTGGGTTTTAGGGGTTAGGGTTTTCAAATCTACAAAGGCTTCTGTAAGGGATCCATAAGGTTTAGGGTTTTAGGGTTTGCGGGTTGAGGGTTCAGGGGTTTACGGTCTGAGGTCTCGGGTTCCTAGGGTACAGGGGTTGAGAGCTTAGGGTCTAGGGTTTTCGGGTTCAAGGGGAGCAGGTTCAGGGTTTAGGCAAAGTTCAGCGCTTGGGTTACTCCATGAGCAGAGGAAGACAGGATTTTGCTTGGGGAGAAGAGCTTTCCCGCGGAATCCTCGAGGCAATTTGGACTTACTAAGGTATAGAATTGGGCTAGAAACGTAACCGAAACGTAACCTTCTGAAGCTTGTCACCCCCAAACCCCAGGCTCCAAACCCCAAACCCCATTCTGACAAGCCGCCCACATCCGGCGCCAAGGATACCCTCGCGAGACGTCCTGCCCAAGCGGCAGTGCGACCTGCAAACAAGCAAACCACAGCAGTGGCTACGCCCCAACTAAACGAAATACCTAAACCCTCAACATGAACTAAAACCCTAAGCCCGAAACCATAAACCCTAAATAACAGAGGGCTAGAGGTTGCCCCTGACGCCGCAAAGAATGTGTGAACACACTGTTCGGCTTCTGCACAGTAGCTCATTGGATGTTCGTCCTGCTTCGTGGGGACATTGTGCCCGGAGTCGATTCTTTTCTTTGTTTGTGGGGAGCTGCTGCAGCAAGCAAAACGCAAGCAGCACGTATAAACGCGCACACAAGCACATTCACACACAAACACGAACCTACATCGACGAGAAACAACAGCCAACATATCACAAAGCAAGTGTGTTCCTTAGGGGCTGAGTGCCCTAGCCCAAGAAAGGTCCATAAACCCCCCCACAAGGGCTAAGGTTAGAAACGACTGCCAACAGCCAGCAACAACCAAGACACAGAGGAACGGCCAGCCCTGCGGACCCTAATGTAGGGGCCTGAACAAGAAAAAAAATTGGGGGGGATATTAATACCATAATAATGCTGATACTAATTAGGAAACCACCAAAATAGTTTAGGTAAATTATCGGCCCCTATACTATTGATTTACCACGGTAACCGTGGTAACCTGCCGGGCTACGTAAAATGGAGGCATGAAGTTGCAGAGGATGCTATCATCCTTTTGCCAGCGCCTCCCAAATTTTTCAGAATCCAGAACCCTAAACACAGCGTTGTGCTGCCCTCACACTCCGAACGCACACCGCAAAAGTAGCATGAACACGAAACATCGGACTTCATGTCGCTTGACTTGAACAAACGAAGTCCATGAACATCGTGAAGGGCGAAGCCAAAAAACAAGAGGGTGGCGAGGCGGGGAAAAATAATGCAAAGTCCAGAACTTATCGTTGTGTCTCGGAAAACCTGGCAGCAACAATACCAGCAAAACCAAGTCAGCAACAACAGCAACGATGCAACAGCAAAATCAGCAGCAAACAGCACAAGCATAACAGTGACTAGGCCGGCTGTCCATACAGCTTCTCACAGTTTCGGAAGGAAACAACGATAACGCCGCCACCGCCACTACCAGAAAGCAGAATTATCAGACCCTCAGGTATGTAGGTAGTAGCACAAGTCTACCACCGGTAACCATAGCTTCAGGCACATATGCATGCATACATGCGTATACACATACTTATGTATGTGTGGATGAATGGATGAATGGATGGATGGATGGATGGATGGATGGATAGGTGGATAATTACTCCATCAACGCCGGTAAAGCAAGTCGTAGTAGAAGTGTCACGGTGTTCATATCTGCTTGCGAGGTAATTATATAGAAGGTAAGCGACCACTCGGCAAGTGTTTTGCTTTGTTGTTGCCCCTTGTTTGCTTCTCCCCCCGTCACCGGCCCCTGCAAGACTTTTTGTTGCCCGCCCCCCGGGCATTTGACTTAGTAACTAGGTTTGCTAAAACAATACGGTAATTATGATTGTTGCAACTACTCATAACCCCAAAAAGGTACTTATTAAGTGGCCCTAAACCCTAAACCCTAAACCCTATTTGTGTTTTTGCTTTTGCACCACCGAACGCCGCCACTTTGGTTGTTGGCTCCACAGGCGGCCCCGCAGTTTGAAACTGAACTTAGACCCCTGGCAAAAAAGATACGGGTGGTTGTCAAAATTAGGGTCCCTTTTGGGGTACCCTAAATATTAGGTGCCTTATTATATCAGGGACCCAAAAGGGGCCTGAAGTTTGACAACCACCCATATGACAAAATTGTACCCTAAACATTGGGACGCAAAAAGGGACCCTAATTTTAACAACCACCCACATGAAAGCCTGGAAAATCCAATAATGAAGGCCGCAATTTCAGGGAACCTCGTGAACCCGGTAAGGGCCTCAAGCCCTCAAGCAAGAAAACAACACGGAGAGCTCACTTGGAGGACCATGGGACTTAGTAGGTAAAGTTATAAGTATCTTTTTGGGGGGTTATAACGGTTGATGATATAAGTCCTGCATTACCCATAATAAGGAATATACCATACTTCCCATAGTTTAGGGACCTTAAGGTAATGCAGGATTTATATCATGAACCGAGGTAATCGTCACAGAGTATAAGTATAGATACCTTATCTTTAACAAAACTAGGTAGTAAGCCCCAGGATCCTTCAAGCAGCTTCTAAGCTCGAACAGGATCTTTAGCTTTAGGGTTTTAGGGTCCGTAGGGTTGAAGATCTTTGGATTACCTATAGAGGCTCATACCCTATCCCTTTCTTAGGATACCTAGTTTTGTGGTTAGGACAAACGTACGCATCCTAAAAGAAGGGGTACGGTACGAGCCTCTAGGTAAGACTTGAGGCTTCGAAGCTTCAGGCTTCCAGGGCCTAGGCTTTAGGGTTTAGCAAGGATCCTCAGGGCCTCTACTTCTTAAGTACTTTACTTGGAGGATCAAGGGACTTACTAACAACTGAAGTTATAAGTACCTGAACTGGGGTTATAAGTAATTATAAGTATGGCTGCCTTATTTATAACGCTAGTTGCTAACTCCCATGATCGTTGAAATAGAACTTTAGGATGTCCGTATTGTAGTTTCTGTTGGGGGTCTTAGGTTATGGGTAAAAGGCCTGGGTCACCCGCTTTCTCGCAGGCGTCGAGCACAGCACCATAGGAGGCTGCATCGGGTGTTAGATGCGCCTGCCTTGGAATGCTTAACGAACCCTCGGGGTCATAAAGGATCCCGGGCTTCGGGTTTAGGGGCCCTAATAGCCATCATAAAGGACTTCATAAAGCCTGCTTAAGGAAGTAGAGTCCCCTATACCCCCCTCCCCCCTACCCCCGTAAGGGTCCCCACGAGTTCTCAGAATCTAGAACCACAGAGGGGTGGATAGCATTTCGCGATTCGAGTTCGGCTTCAGGGTTGCGGGCTTCAGGGTTTTAAGGCTTATGCTAGGGGCCTTAAGCGTTAGAATAGGGCTTTGGGGGTATTATAACTAAGGAACCGGTACGAGCGAACGACGTGAGCTTCTTGCGGCCGTTCTTCGGCTTCACGACAAGGCAGAAGTCTTGAAAGGCCTTGAGATGCGTGTCCAGATCGGCGTCTCCGTCGCCGAACACGGGCAAGTCATCGCGGAGGGAGTACGTGAAGACGCTCTTCTCCTCCTTCAAGGTCTTGAGCTGCTCCGCTCGCTCGTTGGCGTTTTGCTCTCGCTGCTTGCGCATCCTGCTCGACAGCAAGAAATGCCGACTCATTCCCTGAGTGGCGGGACGAGCTGTCGAACATCTGAGGCTTCCCAACAGTGCCAAAATAGTACAGGCAGGTAAGTAGCCATGCCCCTATATTAGAACCACAGTAACCACAGGAGGGGGGGAACCGAGGCACATCCCACGTCTACAACAACAAAAGATAGACATGCAGCCACAATAGTCGGAACGCTACCGTTAGCAGGCACGGCATTCACTGATGGCACAATAGCAGATGATTTGCTGAATGTAGCTTATAGTAACCCTTCTATAGACCCTTTAAAGGCACCCTCGGCCGCCGTCATGATGTCACATGGAGTCAGTCGTCTTCATCTCTACGATGAATTAGGACTAGTACGAAATCTGTGACCCTCAAACCATCTCAATTCGTTTCCGGCGGAAATCGAAACCTTCAACCCCACACAGGTGTTAAGATTTCGGGTTTGGGGCAATATAGCGTCTAGCCCTTAACCCCAAGTGGCTCTGAACGCTGAGCCCTAAACCCTAACCACGAAGAGAATCAAGATTCCGGCAAGCTAAACCCTAAACCCCGAGCCCTGAACGCTAAACCCCGAGCCCTAAACGCAAAACCCTAAGCCCTAAACCCTGAGCCCTAAACCCCAAACCCAAACCCTGAGCCCTAAACCCCAAACCCTGAGCCCTAAACCCCAAACCCCGAGCCCTAAACCCTGAATCCTAAACCCGAAACCCTCAACCCTGAACCGTGAACCCTAAACCCTAAGCCCTTCCGGCAACCTAAATTTCACACCCTCCTCATAGAAAGAAGCCCGAGAGGCTCTTCGGCTCGGAGGAAAAACCTGGGCGTACGCTTTACGGCTTAATCTTACTTGGAGGATCATCGGACTTAGTAAGTAAGGTATTAAGTACCTTAATTGGGGTTAAACGTAGATATACGTATAGTTACCTTAATTATAACCCTAGTTACTAAGTCCCCTAAACCTTTAAGTAGAGGGGCTCCTTTAAGGGGATCTACAGGGGTTGGGGGCTGCGGGCTCCTTTAAAGGGATGTACCGGCATCTTTGGGGTTTAGGACTCCTTTTAAGGGATCTATAGGGGGTTTGAGGCTTCAGGCCCCTTTAAAGGGATCTGTGGGGTTTACGGTTGAGGGCTGAGTATCCCAGCCCAAAAAAGGTCAAGTAGGATATTAGAAGAACCAAAAGGATAAAGGCCACCTACTCAGCCCCTAAGTACTCGTGTGAGGGTTTGGGTGTTTGGGGTTTAGGGTTTCGTGTTTCGGGTTCGGCTTTACGAATGAAGGCCTTTACGGCTTGAGGGGCCCCCTGTAAGGCATCGAAAGGTGTGCTACAAGGGCTTGCGGTCCAGATCGGGTAATTAAACCCCTAACCCCTACGCCCTACACTCTAAACCCCCAAACCATGGACTCTAAATCTAAAACCGCATATCTCGACGGTCTTACTTGAAAGTTCATTACTTTTTTTTTGGGTAGAGTTATAGGTCCCCCAATATGGGTTATATTTGTAGTTACCTTACTTATAACCCCACTTGCAACGACCCCTGAACCTCCAAGGAGGGTTCGAGGCTCCATGGCTGTATGGTTTGGGTCCAGTGTGGCGGTTCGCGGCGGGGTCCCATTCTGGCTCGCAGATCAATCGAACAGAAACGATCCCCTGATGGCAGCATTTTTGTGTTGGCGCATGTTCTGGGTATAAAGACTCAATGTTTGCCTTTCCGAACCTTTTTCATGGTTCTAAACCCTAAACCCCAGGCCCCCAATCCCTAAGCCTCAATCCCTAAGTCTCGAACCCTAACCCCTAAACCCAATCCATAACAAAAGTGGATATGACCGGGCTCCGACAGGGTTTCTATGGGTGTGTAGATGGAAGAACTCCCCAAAGTAGGAGATGGAAGAACTCCCCGAAATAGGGATCCCCTAATTTCCGAAACCATGTAGTTAGTAAGGTACCTTAAGAAAAACCTATGTTATGAGTTTTGGGGTTAAGGGTATAGACGCCTGATAACTGCCGTTGCCGCGTCAATGCTGCGATTCTCGATCTTACAATCCTTATTATGTACTACTAAAGGAGAGGGGGAGTTCATTGACAGGGGTCCACATTGAACCTCACCACACCTATGTGCCCCTGTTCAACCCGCTTACCAACCCAACCCGAACCCCTATAGCACCCTTGATTGAACCCTCGTAAAAGTGTTAGCCACCCTCGAAACCCTAAACCCCTCAACCCCGACCCCTCAACCCCGAAACCCTGAACCACGAAACCCGGAACATTAGCCCACAGACCCCCCCATCCTACACCCCCAAACCTGACTAAGCCCTAAGCCCACATGAAGCTCGACCATGAATTTCTCTGAGCCGGGCAACTCCGCCTGATGGATGTGTCCGAGCGTGGCGGCAGCGGCGATCATCTTCCTCCATGACCAGTCGCAGGTTTCCGAGGGTTTGCTGAGTTCTTGTTGAAGAACTTCTTTCAAGTAACCAGAGACGGATCTAGAATACATGATATGGTTTCTTTGTGGTAGCAAAAAATTGAACACATTTCCGTAACAAGTAATCAGTTTAGGATTGAAACGGTTTAGGCGTCAGGTAGGTTTAGGAGGGTTGAAGGTTTAGGTTGGATCCTAGGGTTCTCTGCTTGAAAATTGAAGGCTCCATGCGCTCATCTGGCTTCTACGTTGGCCGAAAAGTAGTCCAGGTATAATCCCAAAGGCTCCATGTGCCAATATAGTTGGTACTTAGTTCTGGAAGTACCTTAAGGCCTAAGTCCTACTATAGGGAATAGGTACTGTAGGTAGGGCCAAAGTATATACTATTGGGGTGGCCTTGAAAGGATCCCTTAAGGGGCCTCGACGGATCCTACCAACATCCTTTAAGGGATTGTCAGAAGTGACCTCTGTAGGATCCCCTTCTAAAGGATCCCTACGGCACCTCCAGAGCGATCGTCAAGGGATACTTACCCTAAGGCTCCATGTGCCCATAGAGTACGTACTTAGGTCTTAAAGAGGTCCCTATATGGGTACTTTAAGGCCGAAATACCTACTTAGAGCCTTTGGGTTATAAGATCGCTTAAGGGATCCTTAAGAGGAGCCCTCACAAGATCCTTTGCTACAGATCCGTAAAAGATCCCTTCAACAATCCTTAAGGGCTAGATACCCCTATAGAACCCTATACAACCTAAAGAGACCCCCCTAAAGGATCATGAAAAACCTTGAACCCTAACCCTAAATCGCAAAAGGATCCTTTAAAGGAACCCCTTTATACAACCCTAGAGAACCCTGAAAGGACCCCCTTAAAGGGAACCCTAAAGAACCCTGCCCTTAAAGGGAACCCTATAGTACCCTGAAAGGACCCCCTTACAGGGAACCCCATAGAAGCCTGAAAGGAACCCCTTACCTAGACCCTCCATCTACCCTCTATTAGACCCCAAATGCCCCTTATTTGGGACCATATACCCCTATTTGAGGGTACAAGGAGGGTCCTGGTAGAGGATCCTTCGAAACGAGCCCGAAAGCCCAGGCCACCCGACCCGAAACTCCGGCCCGTTGGCCGGATAACAGCGGAAAGCTGCCGCAGCCAATCCTGCAAGAGAGGATAGAAGGGCTTAAGTAGGGTTCAGGGTTTAGGGTTTATAGGGTTTAGGGGCTTTGAGGGCGTTGAGGTTTTGGGCTTAGGATTTCCGGTTGATTTTTTTAGGGCTTGTTGCCGTCTGCTGAGATGTCTCTGCTACAGAAGCCTCCCAGAGAGGCAAGCTGGTTGGACAGCCGCTCGTTTCAGCTGTTTAAGGAGAAAGAAGAATATATGGGATTTAGGGTTTAGGGGTGAGAGGCTTAGGATTTTCGGTCTGGTGGGCTCGGTCGATGCTGGGTGTGTTCAACCGTTTTTTGCATGCTATTGCGCTTTGTGGTTTGGTGTGTTGCAAGTTGTGTCCCGCAATCGCGGAGAGTTCTTGCGGTGAAACAGTTCTGACCTGGAGCCTGCCGGGATTTCGGCTTGAGGCTTCCTGTAGGCTTGCTGCGCGTAGAGGGTTACAGTAGGGTTTAGGGTTTAGGATTTGGGGTTTAGGGCTTAAGACTTAAGGTTTAGGGTTTAGGGTTTAGGATTGAGAAATTGAAAGCTTCCGGTGTGAGGTTTCGCTCCACCGCCGGGTTCTTACTGGCTCCACAAACTGGGTCCTTGCTTGGGACCCTTAAAGGAAGCCTTATAGAGCCCTTAAAGGAACCCTTACAGATCCCTTTAAAGGAACCCTAGAGATCCCTAGGCTGCCTTTAAAGGAACCCTAGAGATCTCTTGGGATCCCTTTAAAGGAACCCTAAATAACAAGAACCCAGCAGAAAGCTTCCTACGTCGCTTGCGGCGGCTCGGTGTCCTCCGCGCCAGCTGGGTCGGCAGCCTTGACCTCGAATTTCTGCCTAATGTACGGTTGATGATATAAACCCTGCATGACCCATAATAAGGAATATACCATAATGCCCATAGTTTAGGGTCCTTAAGGTAATGCAGGATTTATATCATCAACAGTAGAAGCCCAACAGTTGGAAACCCAATAGCCTCAATCCTTAAGAGTAATGTATAGGGAATCCCAGCACTATTCGGCCTTAATCCGGTTTCCAAGTGTATTATGGGGTTTTCTGTAATATAGGAACCTGCTTAAGAAACCTTGGGCCTTCATGTTAGGGCTTAGGGTTTGGGGTTTTGGATTTGGGGTTTAGGGTTCAGGATTTAGGGTTTAGGGCCTAGGTCGACCTTCCACAAACCTTTATGCAACAGAATTATATCTGCTTACACACATGATTACATGCATGCATGCATGCATACACATGTCTGTGTACATACATGTCTGTGAACATAGATGTGCATATAATGCACATCTTCCGGTGGCCCAAATGGCCTACCTTTTTAAGGAACTATATATATATATATATAAGACATAATAAGGAACCCTAAAACGGTAGTTCTTTTCGGCTACAGGTGGGGTTTAGGGTGTAGGGTTTAGGGTTTGGCTTTATAAACCCTAAACCCTATCTTATAAGGCTTGGGTGGGCTACAGGTCGGGCCCGCTATGGCTCGCTCTTCAAGGCTTCCGGAGCGAAAAAAAAATCCCGTCTGAGCACGAAGCATAAGCTTTGAGCACCAGGTTCCAGAGAAACCTGAGCTCGTGCTTCCGTACTTAGTAACTTGGTTTCTTTAAAAAGTTCCTTAAAGATAACGCTTCCCAAACAGGGATCTATAAAGAATCTATCATTAAACTAGGGTTCCCAACAGGGAGCTTAAGGATTATAAATCAACTGTAGTGATTAACCAGGGTTCCTTAATGGGTTCCTAAAAGGGGGCTTACAGAATCATTACTGGACGCAGTGTACTTTGAGGATCATGGGACTTAGTAACGAACTAGTAACTAGGGTTCCTTAAAGGGTTCCTTTAATGGGGATTTAAGGATCATGGGACTTAGTAACGAACTAGGGTTCCTTAAAGGCTTCCTTTGAAGGGTCATGGGACTTTGTCACTACGGTTCCACACCCTTAAAAGGGATCTGTAAGCGGGGGTTCGGGTGCGCAAAGGAACATGGGACTTACTAACTAGGGTTCCTTAAAGGGTTCCTTAGGAGGGATCTTAAAGGGATCTATAAGGGAGGGTCAGGGTACTCAAGGGACTGGTTCCTTAAAGGGGATCTATAAGGGATCTCTCAGCGGGGGTTAGGGGTACTTGTCTAGAGTCATAAACAAGGTAACCATATTTATGACTAATTACATATAACCTCAATTGAGGTACTTAAAACCTTACTTACTAAGTCCCATGATCCCTTCAAGTAGGGCTGAGGAGCAGGGTTTGGGCGTTAGGCTTTAGGGTTTACGCTTGGGTTCAATTAAATGACGAAAGATGACGGAACCAGCTTTCAACATCATGTCAGTAAACTTGTTACGCGCCAGACACTCCCGGGGCACTAGGAAGATAAAGGGAACACTTGGCGATGTATCATGGCACCTTGCTCAGCGATTTGGGAAAAGCATGATGCCCTCAGTAACCAGAACGAAATCATCAAACCAAAGCCGGAAATCACATGTTATGGTCGGGGTTCTCTCTTGACAAGTAAGCAACCCACTGTGAATTTGAAAGTTTGCCATTGCTACACGGTTTGGGGGGTTTAGGGTTCATTGTCGGGGCTATCCACATGCCAAACCTCTCTTCCGAAATTTGGAGAATCCAACCCCAAGCCCACGGATTCCTGCCGTGCCACGGCTTTCGGTGGCTGTAGCCGCCGATGGAGTCGAAAATGCGCCGCGCCTGTCAGCGAAGTTAAAGGAGAGTGTTGTAGCATCATACTAGGGATCTATAATGGTTTCTGAATTATGGTAACTTAAACTGTTAATATAAGCTACCATAATAGAGATACCTTATGAGTCTAATAAGTTCCTTAACCCTATGAGACGTTGGGGATCTCAGAGACCCTTCTCTTGAAGCGCCCATCCCTGCTGCTGCTTCTCTGCCTATCTTGGCACATGCATATAGTAAACCCTAAACCCCAAATCCAAAACCTCAAACCCTAAGCCCTAAAATGAAGGCCCAAGGTTTCTTAAGCAGGTTCCTACATTACAGTAAACCCCATAATACAGTTGGAAACCGGATTAAGGCCAAATAGTGCTGGGATTCCATATACATTACTCTTAAGGATTGAGGCTATTGGGTTTCCAACTTTTGGGCTTGTACTGTAGGAAATTCAGGCAGACTCCAAAATAAACGGAATACCTACGGACCCTAACGCAATTCCGATGATCAGCACCAAAAAAACCTGTTGTTGAAGGCTCCTTTTGCTCATGGCAGATCTCAACATGTGGTGAAAGGACTGGCACAGGGATTTCGGGAAGAGGGTCTAGGGTAAAGGGAGCCTGATAATTATGTAGGAACCTGATTAAGAAACCCTGGGCCTTTACCACCCGAAGGCTCCATGTACCCATGCAGTAGATACTTACGGCTTAAAAGGGGTCCCAATATAGGTACATTAAGGCCTAAGTATCTACTGCATGGGTACATGGAGCCTTTGGGACACCAAAATAGCAGGATTCATATTAGGAACCCTAATAAAGCCCCAAGGGTTCTTAATCAGGTGCCTACATTACTGATCCTAACCCTGAGCAACTCCGTGCTTCTTGCAAGCATGCCACACCTATAGTCTCCATCCTTTTTGGGGTTCCCTTTTAGGATCCCTAATATAGAATTGGTTAAACCAAAAAAAGGAACTACAATGGAGACTATAGGCAGTCTAGGGATCCGCAACTTGGAAAAACTTACCCAAAGACGGGATCCGCAACTTGGAAAAACTTACCCAAAGACTCCATGTGCCTATATAGTAGGTACCTAGGCCTCACAGGGGAACCCTTAAAGACCCCTCAACCCGGTCCCTAGGAATCCCCAAAACCATATTCTAAGTGTTAAGTCCCCTGAACCCTAAACCCTTAAACCCTTAAACCCCTAGACCCTAAACTCTAAACCCTTAGACTCCTAAGGAACGCGAGAAATTCCTTTAAAGGAGCCCTACACCCTGCAAAATGATTACATCTCGGCCTCCTCCACGTGTCCTGCCTCTGCTGCTTCAGCGAGCTTCTGTACAGCGGGCGCCTTGCGAGGTCTTGGAACCACGACGACCCTAAAGGCGCTATAAGGGTTCCTCTAAAGGGGATCTATAGGGGTTCCAAAAGAGGTATCCTAGGGGTTCGAGAAGGGATATTTAGGGTTTAGGGTTTGGGATCTGGAGATTGGGGCTTAGGGTTGTGTTAAGGGTTTTGGAGCCTACCTCCTTCAACGGGATCCACAGGGGTTCTACAAGGGATCTTTAGGGTCTGGGGTTTAGGGTTTAGGGTTTAGCAGGACCCCCCACCCAATGGCCGTTTAAGGGAGCCCTTTACAAGGGTTCTGCAAGGGATCTTTAGGAATGGCACTTTAATGGAGCCCTTATGGTCTTCAATTAATAGTGGGTATTTAGGCAGAACCGGCAGGGGCCTGGGCAGCGACCTTATCCGTAGCCTTGCTGCACTCGAAGGGAGTGGCCCAGGCGGAGGTTCAGAGGGAACAGAGGCCGCAGAGGCCGCAAGAGGAAGCCCGGCCAGCCCCCTTGCGATTGGTCCTCTTCCTCTGAGGTGTTATCTCGCTGCTTCCACGCAAGTTCGTGAATCCGCCAGCCCGCAGTGCATCCAAGGGCCCGGGCCCATAACACAAAGTCAAGATTATTTTTATGATCACAAGGCCAAAATCTCCTTGCGACAATACTTGATGACCTGGTTCTCCGGGTGCCGCCACCTCCGCAAGTAGCGGGCCTCATCGACCGCGCCGCACGGATTGGAGGTCTCCAGCAGCACTTGTTCTTAGCCGTCAGACCAGAAGAAGCAGATGCAAAAAAAGGGCTACAAACGTGACACACACACAAGCAAACCCTCTACCTACTTGTCGGGTATCATGCGGAACGAAAGGTTAACCTTTTCGGTGATATAGGGATCATATAGGGACTATACTACCCAAAGAAGGTTAATTGTTGCCTACTCTACTACTACGGTTGATGATATAAATCCTGCATTACCCATATTAAGGAATATACCATACTTCCCATAGTTTAGGGCCCTCAAGGTCATGCAGGATTTTGTCCATCAACAGTAGGTCTAATTATGGCGGGTTCTAGAGGGGATTCAAAAGCCTCGAAAAAGGTTCGAGATGGGATCGATTCTAAGGGATCCAAGACAGAGTTTTAGGGGTTCAGGCGTCTACCCTAAGGCTCCTGGACCCTGGTAGCGAGGTCCCAAACCCTCGCCCCCAAAGCCGAAACCCTCCCCCAGAAGGCCCAAGACTCTGTTAGGAGCCTTAGGGTAGGGTCTCTAGGGATTTTAAGGTTTGGGTTTCGGGGGCCCCGACTCCGGAACCTTAACACACCTAAACTCTGAACGCCTGAACTCCCAAAACGCCAGGTTTAGGGTGTGATTAAGGTTTGATGTACATAATCTACACCTTCAAAGCCATTCTGGAAAAAATGGGTTCTTGTTTGGGAATTCAAGGCTGATGTCAACTCATATTAAGAAACCACCGCGTAAGTGCAAAATCCCAAAACCCAGAAGATAATTAGAACCCCCCGGCCCCCGCCGTTATTTGCAGAATCCAAGCGGTGGGAGCGGACAAAGCGAACCCTAAACCCTAAACCCTAAAAGCTGCTGGCTCTGGTCTAGGAGGCCTTCGGAGCACGTGGTGCCCAACCGCGGCGCATGCATGTGCCATTGGTAAGAGGAAATACCTAGAGCGCCCGGTACCCCTTAACCCAAAGGGTCCTAGGCACCGTTCTGGGGGATACCTCCCCAAATCATAAAAGTATCTCCTAATATAGAAACCCCACATTCTACCATATAGGTACCTAGGACCGCTTGGGTACCTGAGGAAGATCTCATTGTTGCGTAGGTGTATCTTAGAATATGGGAGTTTCCGAGAACAGGCGACCCTAATATAGTACCCTAAAATAGTAGGATCCCTATTATAAGGTCTCCTAAATGTGGTACCACTACTGTTCGGAAACCCCCTACAATAATCCCCATTATAGAACCATTATACACCCTAAATCCTACACTCCAAATCCTAAACCCTAATCCCCAGTATAGATCCCTTATAGATCCCTTTAAGGACCCCGAACACAATAAGGTACCCCTGGTTTTCGGAAACCCCTACATGCCCTAAACCCTGAACCCTAAACCCTATACCCTATACCCGCGGTCATCTTACAGCAGAAGCCAGAAAGCTGGAACATCACTATCCTCATGGCCTTAAAGGCAAAGTATCGGAGATTCCAGCACTAATCATCCTAAATACATGTTCCAACTTTTCGGGGATTCACCCTAAACCCTATACCCTAAACCCTAAACCCTATACCCTAAATCCTAAACCCTAAACCCTAAACCCTATGCCCTAAACCCTATACCCTAAACCCTAAACCCTATACCCTAAATCCTAAACCCTAAACCGATGACGATGGCGAGACCCGATGCTGGTATCGTCATTTGAAGCTATGCCAGGAGTTCCGTTGCTTCGGTTTCAGGAGTACTTTGAAGGGATCTCTAGGGTTCCTTTAAAGGGATCTATAGGGGTTCCTCTAAAGGGATCCATCGGGGTAGGTTTTAGGGTTTCTTCGGGGGGGGCTTAGCTAGACCAAGGAGTAACCTAGGATTCAAAAGGATGACCTTGTTGGTTTCAAGGGGCTTATAAGGGAACCTGAACCCTAAAAAGTGAATAAGGGCCTAAACCCGAAACCCCTCAACCTAAACCGCTAAACCCTCAAACCTAAACTTCTAGACCCGAAACCCGTATAAACCCTAAATCCCTAAACCCTAAACCCCTAAACCCCTAAACCCTAAACCCCTAAACCCTAAACCCTAAACCCCTAAACCCCTAAACCCACAACCCGTATAAACCCTAAGTCCCTATCAACCCGAAGTTAAGGGCTATCGGGGCTCTCTGGCCACGTGTCGTCAATGGAACAGGGCGCCTACCGGGGTTTCGGGTTAAGGGTTGAGGGTTTTGGGTTTAGGGTTTAGGGTTTAAGGTTTAGGGTTTAGGGTTTATGGATCTGTTGACGAGTTCTTATTGAGGTCGAGAGTTCCAGGTTTCAGTATTTCAGAGTTCCCTGGAATTTCGGTGTTGGGATCAGCTCCGACATAGCCCAGCTCGTATTCGGGTCGCTTTGACTTCACCTATGACGCACGAATTGAACTCCTTCAATCTCCGAGCCTGTGCACTTTGCCTTAAAAAACGAACTTCCTTCAGTTCAGGGTTTAGTCATAGGGACCCTTGGGGGGCAGGGGGGAGGGGGGTAGGGGACTATACTTCCTTCAATGGGCCTTATTGAGTCCTTATTACAGGTATCAAGGCCCCCTACCCCCCTCCCACCAACCCTAAACCCTAAACCCGCTAAATAAACCCTAAACCCCAACCCCTCTGAGGGTCCTTATGATTTAGGGTCCTGAGTTCAAACTGACGGTCCTGAACGCGAGATCCTAAACCATACTCCCTCCTTTCGGATGAGGACGGACACTTCTGAGCCTATGGGAGCATGGGTCATAGGGACCCTTATAGGGGGTAGGTGGTAGGGGGAGAAGGGGCGTTAATTCTCTTCGTAAGGCCTATTTAAGGAAGTATAGTCTCATACCCCCCTCCCCCCTACCCTCTTAAGGGTCCCTATGAATAGGTTGTCTTTCAGCAACTAGAGTTTAGTTTGAGGCGACTTCAGTCGTCGTGTAATTTTGACTTGCTCAATTTCACAAGCCCCTAACCTGATCCGAGGCTGCAACGCCTCAACTCTGCATGAAGCCCCCTTCAAAACCACAACTTCTACATGGGTATTGTCAAAATTAAAGTCCCTTTTGGGGTACCCTAAATAATAGGTGCCGTTTTATAACAGGGACCCAAGAAGGGACCTTAATTTTGACAACCACCCACATGAAAAAAGCATGTCTACGGGGTCCAGCTAGGCCCTTCATTAAACTATACTGAACTTAGAACCATAGCAAAAATTATAGTTTTAGCTGTTTCTTAGGGATGATAACAACCAAAAATTGCCAAAAATAAAACAAATATTTCTAAGTACCCCTAAGTAAACTCGTTGCAGCCCGGGGCTGACCCAACCAAGTCCCTCGAAACTTCTGCAGTTTAGGATCTTCCAGGACCCTCCTTGGACCCTCAAATAGGGTACATGGTCCCAAATAAGGGGCATTTAGGGTCTAATAGCGGGTAGATGGAGGGTCTAGGTTGGCTGTCCTCAATGCAGATACAAATCGAGTAGAAACCAAAATCAAAGAGGGGTGATGGGTTTAGGGTCTACGGGTCAGGGGTTTGGGGTTTAGGGACAGCCTATACTCACCCCGAGTCCCCGACAACCACCGCAAGTACCAAACTCTCACAGCTCACTCGGGCTTGGCTTTAGGTTTTTTTTTAAGCGCCTTTTTCCGTCTTGCAGGAATCTGGAACATCTGTTTCAGATGAGACGACCCTTGCCCTTCACTTGCCACTGAACTCGTTGTCATCCCTCGCTTCCCTTGGACTCGTCGTCGTTCGTTGGACCCCTTGAACTCGTATCCACTTGCTTCTGCTGCATCCCTGCTTGTAGCTGAGCTTCACCCTGTGAGCCATCACCCAGCCCCTCATCCCCTCCATCTGGTATCTCCGTGTACGGGTCTTCTCCGTCCAGCTGTGTATGCGACTCCATAGCCGTCTGTAATTGCATGATCTGCAGGATGTCCACACCAAAGCGGCGCATCACCTGGGCGTCGTCGATCACTCCTGACTGCCATTGGGTATACTGGTCGCAGAACATGTCGTAGTCCATCTCCTCGAAGCACACCTGTTCTGAGCCCGCGCTGCCCATTCCCGGGTTGTTGGCCTGTGTTGGGGCCACCACCGTCTCCACTTCGCTTTCCGGTATCATGTCCGCCATGTAGGCCCGCTGGCTTTAGGGTTTGGGGTTCAGGGTTTAGGTTTGGGTTTAGAGTTTAGGGTTTAGGTTTGGGTTAGTGTTTAGAGTTTAGGGTTTAGGGTTTGGGGTTTCGGGTTTTGGGTTTGGGGTTTAGGGATTAGGGTGTAGGGTTAAGGTTTGGCTTATGTAGGGCTTATAGGCCGAAAGGGTTTGTCGAATTTGTGATGGTGACGGCTGTGTCGGCCCTGTACCAATCATGCCTGCTGCTGCTATGAGAGGCTCCTACAATAAGGGACCGCTAGCTGCAAGACCTTAACGCTAGAAAGCGCTGATTTCTTGATAAAGAACTCAGGTTATCTTCGCATACCAGGGAATCAACATTGACTTCCTTCGCGATGAGATCTGCAAGCTAAGTTAACTTCCTCACCAAGAACGGTTGATGACATAAATCCTGCATTACCTTAAGGGCCCTAAACTGTGGGAGTTATGGTATATACCTTATTATGGGTAATTCAGGATTTATATCATCAACCGGAACCTGGCTGTTTTATTGCCCTCATCGGCTCGTTCGGAGGCAAAGCTGAGCCCAGGGAACAGACGTTTTGCGACAGCGCCCCGCGTCTATGTCTATGTGTTGACTGGCAAATACTGGCAGGCCTCAGCATGCCCTCCCTAGTTCATGGTTGGGATAGGATTACAAATTCACGTCTTCATTCCTTATTGGGTTTAAGTACCCATAAAAATGTAAAATGTTACCCAACTATCACAAAGCTCCTATCTCTTCCCGTATCTCTCGGTTTAGGCTTTATAATTCTGGCTTAGAAGGGGCCCCCCACCCTGTAATAGTGACTATAAGGATTATATAGGATTATATTACGGCCCTATTATACACCTATTATACCACTACCTGCATGACCTTAAGGTCCCTAAACTATGGGAGTTACGGTATATTCCTTACTATGGGTAATGCAGGATTTACATCATCAACCGTGCTACTAATGCCTTCAGTATTCATTGATTTCCTTTTTGGGTTGCAAGGGTGGGATCTTGGGTGTTCAGGTACTTCGACTTCTGCGGGGGCACGAAGAGGGAACTCCCTGAGCAAACTTATAAATCCGAGACTCGAATCCAATATCTAGAAACCCTGAACTTTCAATAAGTAGGAGCCCTATGCAGTACTACTACCAACTATGCGCCTGCTATGCCAAGACTTCAAAGCCCTGAATAGACCCCAAACCCTAAACCCTACACGCTTCTAAACCCTACCTACACCATGCCCTAAGCCTACTCCCAAAACTTTCGGGCATTCAGTCCCCAGGTGGTGTGCTGTTCCGATTTCGGTGTAACCCGAAGCCCTGTGGCTCAAAGGCGCTAATGTACTTAAAGGATCATGGGACTTAGTAAATATAACTAGGGTTCTAACCTTACTTACTAAATCCCATGATCCTCCAAGTAGGGGCCTGAATTCGAACAGGGCTTTGGGTGCCACTATGCTATAGTTATCATAAGGAACCCCCCAAAGTAGTATAGGCAAAAACCGTTTACAGGAACACTATTCTAAATATTAAGGCACTAAGGCCCCTACAGTACCACACGTCGGGGCTCTTCAAGTTTCAGGAAAGTTGTTTAGGGTTTATTGACGTCATGGGGCTTAGGGTTTCAGGGGTTAGGGATTAGAGTTCAGCGGTTTGGGTTTGCAGCTTCAGGGCTTGAAGGTTTAGGGGTTTAGGTTTTAGGATGTAGGGGTTTAGGGGTTGGGGGTTTTAGGGTTTAGGATGTAGGGTTTAGGGTTTAGGATGTAGGGTTTAGGGTTTAGTGTGCGTGTGTGTGTGTGTGTGCAGAACAAATTCAGGAGACTGTCTATCTAATGGAGGGCACGCTCGGGAAGATCTCGAAATGAAGGAACCCCCCCATATCCCTACGGGTCCAAAGGACCCAATAGGGAGACTAGATCCGTGACGTTCCTTCAATCTAGGGGTTTTACCAGTGTGCTTCCAGGGTCTTACCGATTTTATGGGGTGTTAGGGTTTAGGGGTACAAAGTAGATAAGGAACATGTGCTTGGGGGAGAGCAGCCCCATGACAAATCCTATGTCAAAACCTTTATAGCTGCTGCGAAAAGCCTGCACAAACCGAGATCCTGAAACCCTAGACCCTACCTTGTAATGCAGAAGCCTGAACCACTAATCGCGTCGGGTTCCTTATTATCTTTACGATACAGTATGATATGTGCTTGATAAGGCGCCTAGAAACCGCAAACTTCCTAAACCCTGAATTCTCTATAGAGCCCTTTACTCTAAGGAGCCTTTCAAGGGAACCCTATAAGCGCCTGCACCAATCTGAGTCCTACAGAAACCCGGTTGCAGTCCGATGGGGGGACCCTCCCAACTTCGATCAGTTCCCATTTGTCCGTACTTCGACGGATACTGACTGGTGGTGGAGGAGCCGAGGAGGGCGTCAGACAAAGGTCGGGCCAGCGTTCTGGGGTTCAGGGCACAGCACACCCCAATCCCTACTTGCAGGATCATGGGACTTGCTAAGTAAGGCTATAGGTACCTCAATAAGTGGGGTTCCTAAACCCTAAACCCCTAAACCCTAAACCCTAAACGTATAGCTACCTTATCTGCAAGCGTGTTTACTAAGTTCCGTGGCCCTTCGAGTTCCTGAACCCGAACCTCCTACACCTCTACCTAGACCCCCAAAAGTAGGTAAAATAATCGCCCAAAACCTATAAAAGGCAATTGTTCCACAAACTTTTGGGGGTCCAGGTAGGGCACCGTCTTGCTATTCAGAAAGGTTGTTTTTGGGGGTTCTTTTCGGGGGTTCCCATAAGGTCATAAGGGATCCATAGGGCGCTAGGGTTGACTTCCTTGAAGGGTTCATGTACGCCCCTGCAATGTAAATTTATGGTACATGTATTGCGGCTATCCCAGATGTGGCTCTATCTGCAACGTAGTCGTCTGCTGCAATAGAAGGCTTTAGGGTTTGCAGAGAGGCTCAGAACTACCGCATATCTAAGCTTGGGGCATGTCTGCAAAGCAAATGCAGTTCTACTCACTCAGCAACCTTCCTGCTTACACCTGCTTGCACTGCCATGAACCGTACACCCTAAATAAACTCTATCTAAGAGCCTAAACCCCAATAAAACTCTTGAACCCTAAACCCCTAATTAAAGCCTAAACCCTTAAAGCCTAAATACCAGCCCTCTTTCAAATCGCCAGCCGTCTCCTGCACGCGGCAGCTCTCCTCTACAGTCTCCAAGAGGTTGGAAGACAAAATGCGACTGCATGGTCGTAGATAGTTAGTTGAAGTTATTCGTATGGGATGCCTGTAAATGCTTTACACCGTAACAGTGTGTATATATATATATGTATATATATACACATTAATACACAGATGTATGTCTGTGTATACAAACATATACGTATGTATCATGCACGCCCTCTGTGATCTCTGCCTCGGAAACCAGGACAACCCAAAAACGAAGAACTCGAAACGAAGCGTTGTGGAGTTGCTACATCGATTTGCATATACTCGGGCATACATACATCAGTGCGCAGAAGTACATCCAAAAGTGCTATCCTACCACGAATGTGCAGGGCCCCATGTACACCAAGCGCCGGAATTTAGAGCAGTGCAGTGTAGCATATCGCTGCAGCAGGCTAGCACCAAATTAATGAAACTCCAAACCCTGAACGCAAACTACTCTACACCAATCCCGGCGATTGAGAACCCTGCACCTTTAGCAGATCCTCATAACATCTCTCACGACCCATATCAGGCACCTGATGGGTTTAGAGTTTAGGGTTTTGGGGTTTCGGTTTAGGGTTTAGGGTCTAGAAACCCTATATACTAGTAGAGTTTAGGGTTTAGGGGTTTCGGTTTAGGGTTTAGGGTCTAGAAACCCTATATACTAGAAGACGTCTTCTGATCGCAGCCACTAGGCTCTGAATTGGCGACTTGCTGCACTTCTGCAAGCAAGTGCTCGTCTTGGGAGAGGCTTTGTCGTCCAGTACCTATACTATACTGAACTAAACCCTGAGCCCTAAACCCCAAACCCCAAACCCTAAGCCCTAAGCCCTAAAAAGAAAGCCCAAGGTTTCTTAAGCAGGTTCCTACGCTACAGAAAGCCTTAAAAAGTTGGAAACCTGATTAGGGGCAATTAGTGCTGGGATTCCTTATGCATTACTCTTAAGGATTGAGGCTATTGACTATTGGGTTTCAAGCTTTCGGGCTTCTACTATATCCTGTAACCGACCATACAGGGAAGATGATACGGGAAGCCTAGTCTGGTTTTATCTTCTGATGTAGTACACTGCGGTTTAGGGTTAAGGTTTAGGGTTGTGAGGCTTCGATAGAATGGGGCTTAAGGGTCTTAAGAGTCTGCTTGCCCATGTAACACAAGAAACGAACAAGTTACATATACATCACCGTTCAAACTAAGAGGCCTGGATTAGTCTCACACCCATGCTAAGCTCATCTCCCAAGGCGGATGAAACGCAGCCAACTTATGGTTCAAAAACGGGGGAACTGCACGGAAACCTCGGCGCGTCTTGTCGGGAGCCGTGGAAGCTCTGTGTAAAAGCAGAACACGTAAACCTTAAACTCTAGGACGCCTAACCCTAAACCCTAAACCCCTAAACCCTTACCCCCTAAAACCATGAACCCGAAATCACCTGATACTCCAAGTAGTGGAACTATTTTACTCAAAGGAAGCCACCCCGACATCCTGGTGACGCCTGTCCAGCACAGCAGCAACAACTTGTCGAGCTTCTTTGCCGCCCGAACATGCTTAAGGCTTGAGGGTTCGTAAGCTAGGATACCCAGTAACCTAAGAATAAAAAGGCCTCTCTTTTTGGTATTGGGTAACTTTATAAGGAACCTAGGACTACAAAAAGGGAATAAGGGTACTACTGGGCATCCTAGGTAAGCTTCGGGGTGTATGAGATTTCGGATTAAAATACCCCCCCACCCGGATGCAGGTCTTTGTCAACATGAAGAAACCGCAAACCTCAAACCCTC